AGAGCTGTTACAATGTTCTATTTGTTATTTGTTTTCCCATCATCTTTGTACTTGCTGGTATATTTATTTCACATCCTGAAAAGAGATCGTTGAGGAGTTTGAAGGTAAACTAAGTCATAGTTTTATGCCTCCCGGAGGTAAGGAGAGGAAGTTAGTTTTCATCTTTACTTCTCTTTGCTTCCTGGGATTAGATTATCATTTTGTTCTACTGCATTGTTAAACCAAAGGGAAATGGGTTAAATATTTGTATTAACTATCTTTCATGAGCCAGGTAGTGGTAGATGCTGTACAGTCTTCTTATTTAATCAGATCAAAGCAAACCTGCGTCTCCCATGTAGATCATTAGGGCCCTATGTGCCAGACACTAGTGCTTTCTAGAATTTGTCTATTTCATTTTCACAACAAGCCAATGAGGTGGGTATCATTCCCTTTATAGAAAAGTAACTTATAAGCTAGTAAATAAGCTGTAGAGCTGGGATTTGAACCCAGAGCCTCTAGATTAATAGCTGCAAAAGAGTTTCTTAGCAAGATTGTTAAAGTTAAAAGAATTCTAAATTATTTCATGGATTTTTCCATAGATATTCAGTATTTTGCCTTGCAGATCAGTTGTCCTTTATGTTTCTGAAAGAAAAATATAATTATGTTAATTTGTTAGTCCAGACGATGAAGAAGAGGAGGAGCAAACCCGCCCATCTGCATTTGATGAAGACACACCGCCTATCTCCATCGTCGTTCCTAAACTACCACAGTGCCTACAGGAGGAAGAGGAAGAGAAGGAGAGCGACTCTGACTCAGAAGGTCCCATTCAGTACCGAGACGAAGAGGATGAAGATGAAAGCCAGCAGAGTAAGAAAGAGAGGGAAAAGCAAAGGAGAAAATTCTGTTACAGATAAAGCTGTTTGCTGGTCTTAGCAAGTGTAAGATAAACGGAGACAGGCACCCTCTCCCGTCGAGTCATCTGGCTAACTGATGTTGGAAGCCCTCTGAGGGACTTGTCCTTGCTATTCCCAATGTTATAACAAGCCAGTGGGAGGGAGCCAAGTAGATTGAGTCATTCGGGTTTTTCATCTGTTTTTTATTTAAAAATTATTTACCTGGATGGTATTAAAGAATGAGGAGGAAAGGAAAGCTGGTATTTGGGCTGTGTTGAAAAGACAAAAGTGATGTTCTCCTTCAGTCTAATGAACTTACTATGTGGAGCAAAGAAAAAAAAACCACATGTTCGTATCCACAAATCTCTGACCAACGGAATCCTGATTCCTAAAAGTGGGAAAGCAGCCTTAAGAGGAATTTTATGAGGTGTGTTAGTGCAAATGCCTTTTTGTTGTAGTTCAGAGGGCTGTCCCATGCTCAGATTCTCTCTAGCAGTTTTTACTAAGGAGAAAAATACAGAAGACTGGTAGAAGGGAGAAGATATCTTTTTTTTTTTTTTTTTTTTNATAGAGTGGGACCCAGAGACTGCAGCCTAACAGTGAGACCTAGGAACTAGCTGAGCTCTGGCCAGGGTGTGGTATGATCTTGAGCAAGTCACCTGACTTCTGTGACCTGAGTTTTTCCTTCTGTGAAATGGTAAAGATAATCTCTTACACAAGGAGAATATGAAGTCAAGGATAGGAAAGCACTTGATTCCTTCAAAGGCCTTTGCTATAAAAATCCAAGGTGTCATTATTGATAGTTTCACAATACAGAGCTGAGATATCTAGATAGCACTATTTATCAGGATCTGGTAACAGTGCCTGATAGTGTTTGTTTTTTTATTGCTATTTGCATGTTTGAAAAAAAAAATTTTTTTTTAAGCCATCCTGCCACCTGTTGCCAGCTCAACGGCAGCTCAGCTCGGGCTGGGAATTGAACTGCTAGTTTCTCAGAGCTTGCACTCTTGAGTGAGCTCTTAACCAACTGAGCCACTTGGCCAGCCCCTCATGTTTGAATTTTTAAATAGTATACTATTAGACAAAAAAAAAACTTATCTGCATTTTTTTTCTGTCTCTATTCATACTAACTTTACACCAAGATCAAGTCATAAAAAGTTGTCATCTCTCTAACATATCAAAGAAGTAAGAAATTTCTCATCAGAATATTAAAGTAGTGGTCTTCCTACACCTCTATACACTTAGGCCTCATAGATATATAAACATAAATTTTGTTTGAGGATGAGCTATCTAGGGAATGGCAAAGCCATGAAATGCTATATTTTGCCTGAAAGACTGAGCTCAGCTCCAATTCTAGGACCTGGGCTATCCCCTCAAAGCATTGTAAAGCCCTTTTAAATTGAGGTGTTTCTCTCTCTTCCAGCTGAACTGTCCCAAGCAATAAACAGTGGTACATTGTTATCAAAACCATCCCCACCCTTACCACCTAAGAGAGGCATTCCATCAACCTTGGTACCCACCTCAGAGTCTGCTGCTGCCACCACCACCACGAAAGCACCAAGTGATCTGAGAGAGAAGAGTACGTGCACTGTGGGCTCCGAACCACTGCTAACAATCCCACCTCCATCTCCATCCCCTCCACTGCCTACTCATGTACCTCCAGAACCCCCACGGTCCCCTCTATTCCCTGCTAAGACTTTTCAAGTTGTGCCAGAAGAGTTTCTACCTTCCTTAGACCTACCCCAGGAGGTTCCCCAGCAGGAAGACCAGAAAAAGGAAGTACCCAAGAGGATGTTGGACCACAGCTCTGGGGAGCCCCATGTACCCTCTAGGCTGCCCCCACTCCCACTACATATCCGAATCCAGCAGGCCCTGACCAGCCCACTCCCCATGACTTCTTCCTTGGAGGGCTCTCACAGAGCTCATTCGCTGCTCTTCGAGAACAGTGATCACTTTTCTGAGGACAGCAATACCCTGGGTCGGACCAGGTCACTTCCCATCACTATTGAAATGCTGAAAGTGTGAGTGCCTTTAAAGCCTGCCTCTTGTTTCTACTACTTTTCTGGTTAGCCTTCCTTGGAAAGAATTATGTATAAAAAGAAAATGTGAATAAATTTAAGAAGACTATTCACCAAATAGGACATGTGCTAGAATTTGGACTTTGCCCAGATTTCTATAACATTGTTTCNCCCATCTCGTCTACCGCCACCACCACCACCACAGCACCTGCTGCCACTGTTACCATCACAAACCTACCAAAAACTGTTACTAATTCCTCTGTCCCCCCTTCCCCAGCACCCAGGACTCTGCCTGCTGCTCCTGCCAGCACTAACACTACTGCTACCCCAAGCCTCCCTCATACAGTCCCTGCCAAGCAGCCCCCCATTCCTCCCCCTAAACCAACTCACAGAAATAGCAACCCCATCATTGGTAAGTAAGTCTTTGGGTTTCCGTTGTTTTGGGTTGGGTTGGGTTGGGTTTAGGGTGGTTGTTTTATTGGATAACTGGTCCAATATTGATTTGGTCTGTGAGAGAAATCTCCATATCTTGTCCCTTTGAAGCCACTCAATATAGAGAAAAGTCTTGACAGTGAGGCAGATGGTTATGAATGAAAGAGGGCTGAGATCAGACATCACTAAAATTAAGTTTGGGGTGGGAGGGTGGTTAATATTTTCCTAAATCAGTGTTTTTAAAATGCTGTCTATAGTTGGGGGACTGGACATGTGAAGATCACAACAGGTTTGACCAGCATGGAGAAAAGATTTCTTTTAACCTACTTTGCACTGCCAATGCATTCCTTCAGCATAAGCCCAACAAATGAAAAAATGATTGTGTAGATGCCAGTATAACTTGTGATTCAGTGCCTGGCATAACATCTTCATGGGGAACTGCAAACTATATTATTTAAATTGTCCTGATAAAATCAGGTTTTATTTTGGGAGAGTTAAGAATGCTACTCTTCTACAATAAGTGGTGGAAGAGAGAAAGCATGGAAAATAATTGCTTGTAGTAAATTTTTTTTTTTTAACCTGAACTTCTACTTAGGTCTGTTTTTTTTACGTAAATGCGTAACTTCTTAGAGAAATTTCCAAGAAAGGGAGGAGAGGAAGGAAGGTAGTGTCTCAGGAAAAATGATACTAGGCTTAGTACTGCTTCAAGTTCTTGTTAATGATTGGAGGAATAAAAAGTATGTTCATTCAGTGATTAATCCCACCAAGCTGTGGCAGGTGACTAGAACCTTGAAAAACAGGCTCAGCATTCACTGTGAATATGACAGGTTGGAGTAGCCTGATACAAACAGGATGAAGGTTGTTATTATTATCACTGCCTTGGATGGATAGTACCATGTTGACTTATCTCTGAGGAACTTGAGGAGCTTTCATATAGTGATTTTCAAAACCTCCTTGTGAAGTAGGAAACTGGTTTTATCTGTTAATCGTTAGGGCGACTAGAACGTGAAGAAGCTGTGACTCACTCAAGGATGCGGTTATTGAAAGACAGAAACCAAACAGAGGCTTTTCAACTCTTGTGTACAGACCTCTCTGTTCTATACACCCGTGTTCTCAAACTGTTGTCTAGACAGGTGTTCTCATCACAGCCACCTGGAGGGCTGGGTAAACACAGTTTCTGATTGAGTAAGTCTGGGGTAGGGCCTGAGAATTTGCATTTCTCTTAAGTACCCAGATAATACCGATGCTGCATATACAGGGACCACACATGAGAACCACTGCTTTAAACCAGTAGGATACGCCACTGTTTTCAGGGTAGACAATATAAAAAACGATATTATGTGTACTCTATCCTGGGCTAAACCACAGAGGCTGCCCTTGGCCTAAAGTGTCTTGCTCAAAGCAGTAGGCCCTGTGACAGGGATCACCATCAGTCCATGAGTGTTTCTCAGTAG